GATGCCGGACTCTATTCACCAATACCTCCTCCTACCATTAGTAAGGGACAGTCAAGTGTTCTCTTTTTAAAGTGCATATGTAGAAAATTCTTTCCTAAGCAAATACAATGCATAACCCAGCCATGGTCTTGAGTTGACCAAATTTTGAGCAACTTTAAAAATTCATAAAAAATTCAATTTCGATCGGAATTAGCTTAAAGTTTCTACACGACATAAGAGCATGTATATGTATCAGAAAAAATTATAAAAATGAAGAATTCTCTCCTAGTCATATTTGGTGAAATTTGGCCAATGACCCTGTACTATTATAGTACAGGGACTTTTACCCGATTTTGGAGCAACTTTAAAAATTCATAAAAAATTCAATTTCGATCGGAATTAGCTCAAAGTTTCTACACAACATAAGAACGTTCATATGTATCAGAAAAAAATATGTAAAGGAAAAATTTTATCCTTTTTCATTTTGGCAAAATATTTTTGAGCAACTTTAAGGACTTTAAGAATTCACTGATAAGAATCTGATCACGATATGCTGTGTATAATTAATACTATCATGATCTCTTATCTGTCTCTTTTAGAACTACCTTCTGTCAATATGGTGAGTCCTCCTGCCCCTCCAGCTATCAAGAGGAGTGATGAGTCTGTGGGGGTGTGGCAGAAACAGCCGGCCAGCTCTAAGCATGCGTCAAGCGTTAGTGCAGTCATCAAGTTGGACTATGACACATCTGATCCAATTTATGATACGCTCAGGCAGCTGATACTGAAATTTGTATTGAAATGGATAATGCCAGGTAAGAGAAAATAGAATTATGTGTAAAGAATAATTTTATAATTAATTTTGAAAATAATAATAGTATTTAATGTCATAAATAAATTACATGTGCATGTAGCTTAACTAGCTTGTGGTTTTTCAAGGGAATTACATTTTTGCAAAATTTACCTAATTTCCAATTTATGGATTTTAATTTTGCAAATTCTACCACATGCCATATTAAATTGATTTTTGCAGATTTTATTTTTGCAAATTAGGAAGGAATCTACGAAATTTGCAACCTTTGAAAAAACTACTTACACATGTACTTATACCATAATTATTAATTTTTGTTATATTTTTCTTTCTCCTATTGTATCTCTTCTTTCCTCTCTTTCTCTCATTAGGTTTCCACAGTAACAGGCCTGGCAGTATACAGCCTAAAGTAGCTAGCCCCAGTCCAGCTCTGGCCAGCAGTGATCAGTCCTTCACTCCAGAGCCACAGGAGATGATGAGGGAGATGTGGCTATCATCTCGTGACAATGTCAACCTTCTCTTTGAGATATGTCATCAAGTATGCCCATGTACTTGTACACAAAGAGGCCTCCTTCCAAAAAGGGGGATGTGACTTTTTATTAGAATTTAGTTAACATTGTGAAATTACTTAATAGTCTTTCAGCTTTCATTCTGCAAAGTTTAAAAGCAAGCTTGTGGGCTTTTTCTCATGATATGCTGAGTAGAAGAGATTTGATAATAATACACTGAAACATTTTACAGTTTTCATAATTTTCTCAAAATGTTTATTGTCCTTTTACAGGAGTTTCCCCTTTTTATTTTGGTTAATTGTGGGTTTGGTTAGTGGGTGGAGCATGCAATAATCAATTATTTGCTATTTTCAAATACATCGTAGGCTTTTCATCTGCCGTTGTCTCATCCAGGAGTTGTTAATAAACTAACTGAATTATACTCATCATGGGTGCAGGTAATTGATGACAATAATAAATGCATAATGTATTGCTATTATTATTATTTATTAATTATTTTTAAATACCGTAGAAGTGGAGTATTTTACTACCTTTATTATTTAATTTCTACAGTAAATTTTTACATGTTTTAAAAAAATTTTGGTTTACATGTGAGCTACTATAAATTAATATAACTGACAAAAAATGTACTGCCTCTTAATTTTACTTTTTTCTATTATGGTAATATTAAAATATTCCACTCTTATGGCATTTTTGTTATTATCAATCATAATTATTATTAACTGCCATTAATTAACTGACATTTCTCTCTCTCTCTCTCAAGGATTCCAATAAGCCGTTGTTTATGGAGGCTCCTGCTCCTCCCATTATCGTATCATCACTTCCTGTCAGTCCAACCCCTCCCCCCGCCCCCTCACTCTCAGTCCTCCCGTGGGAGGCCATCAGTGGGTATAGTAAATTTGACAGGTGAGACACTGATGAACTGAGTATTTGTTGATGAGTAGAAATACATGTACATGTACCGTATTTCCTCGAATAGGAGGCCTTACTCAAATAAATACCTATCACTAATATTATTATCATTATAGATACATGTATGTATAATTTAGCCAGTTCACCTCTGTTTAGAGTGGTCCAAATAACTCAATTGTTTATTTTCAGTCTTCACAGCATAAGGTGGCTGTTTTTGAACCCACTTTTTGATTTAATTTTTTCGTGATTTTTGCCTCTGTTAAGCAATAAACGTCTAGACCCTTATTCAAGGAAATACATGCATGAATACAAGCATGAATGAATGCATGAATGCATGAATGCATGATCTACAATACAGAATACATGTACTTGAGAATAAATTGTACATATACATTTGTGTACTGTCCCATGCATGTACATGAGTACATGTTACATATAACAGTTAGTGGAGGTTGTTGTTCAACTGTTTGTGCTTTTTAAAAGTTATAGGGGTTTCCCCCATTCAAAAATTTCCCATGTGTGGGTAGGGCAGCAATGTAGTGACGCCTACATTCAATGAAATTCTACTCATCCTATTTATACTGGTTTTATCTCACCAGGCTCTAGTGAGGCACACATCACACATCAGGTGTTAATTGTGTTAATTAGATTCATTGCCCAGTTGTGGCCCATTGACCCCTCCCCTAGGGCTCCTCCCTGTTCTACTCTATTGAAATGAGCTTCATTAAGACCACCATACAACATGAAGCATCTTTTATATTTTCAACTTTATGAAACATGTTTCAAGCTCCATTGACTCCTGTATTTTTTTAAAATGTTTCATGAAACAAGTTTCATGGTATATGATAGCCTTTATAGTAATGTCACCATATTATATACTTGTTTATAATGTACAGTGCACAGGGATTATTATTATTATTATTATTATTGTTTTTGTTGTTATTGTTTGTTATTATTATTGCAGATCTGATGTGAGAGCTGGTCTCCAGTCCTCATTAAAGATGTTTATAGCGCACACAAGTCAACTCTTCTTACACCAGCAGTCTGGTAGCAACGGGCATCAATTAGAGATACAGGTAGACAGCGGTCGTAGGATATTGAAGTTATACCAAGAGATTGTGCAACAATGGACACTGGACGGTGAAACGTGGTTGTACTTATTGTCAGTATTGCTACATTTAACGATAACATTATTGTATGATGAGTCATCCCCTCCTCCTGAGAACAGGGACACTAGTCTAGGAGGAAGCATAGCTGACCAGCTGCTACAAGTAATGGAGATCAGTTTCTAGTTATTTCCCTCTCTCTCTCTCTCTCTCTCTCTCTCTTTCATCTTTCCCTCTCTTTATCTCTTTGTACCTGTATCTGTACATGTACCTGTACATGTACATGTACAGGTACATGTACATGTACAGGTACATGTAGGTATATTTCAATCTTTCTCCATCATTAATTTTCTTCTCTCTCTCTCTCTCTCTCCCTCCCCCCTCTCTTTCCCTCTCCTTTCATTTCACTCTTACTCCATTTTATGTATTTACACAATCTTTATCTTTCTCTCTCTCTCTCTCTCTCTCCCTCTTTCTCTCAGACTCTGCTGGTATCATATGTCAGGTGTTCAATGGTAATGCTCATTCCTAGTGATTACTGGAACAACCTCTGGTCAGTGCTGTCATCATTGACCCAGTGGAAAGAAGTCATCGCTCAATGGAAAGTATGTCCAGCATAATATAACTTAATATGGACATGCATGTACAATACATGTATACCGGTACTATGTACATGTACATGTACATGCGAATCACTACATGTACAGTACTTGTATGATGAAGATACATGTACACGTACATGTACATGTACGTGTACAATATACATGTATTCTTTATCAGTATATATACGTGTACATGCATGGTTGGCTTGAAAGGAAATCTGATCTCTCTCTTCCCTTATGATATACCTGGGAACTATTTGATATCAAAATCATTTTTATTTGATTATTTCAAGGAATTATAGTGTCTGTCTGTATGTGTATGTATTCATGTGTCGGTAGGAATTGAAATGTTCATTAATGTTGTGTTATTTTTCCTCTTTTGATGCTGCCATGCATTTCTAGTAGTATACACTATGCAGTGTAGTACACGTATGTAGTCTGTACTTGCACTTGTTAAAATTTTTGTTTATAATCTCACTATTTACATCCTTCCTTTTGGCCTTCTTTCGTCTCACTCTCTCTGTCTGTCTGGCTCTGTCTGTCTCTCTCCCTCTCTCTCCCCTCTTTCTCTCTCTCTCCCTCTCTCTCTCCCCCCTCTTTCCCTCTCTCTCTCCCCCTCTCTCTTTCTCCCTCCCTCTCTCTTTCTCCCTCCCTCTCTCTCTCCTCCACAGGATGTAATGCGTAACACCACTCACTGCCTGTCAAGAGTAGTGTATCAAATTGATTTAGACCACCTCCCACTGAACCACATATCGGACACCCATCGTCCACGGACCCGTACCACGGGCTCAGCGGGTGAATGGTCTCGTAAGAAATCCTTCTCAGAGTACAGGCCACTCCCCCCTCAGCTATCCCATAGCTCAATTGACATCCCATCAACGATAGACTCTGTCCCAATCAACCGAAGGCTAGTGAAAGCAAGTACGTACGACATGACAACAAATAGTGTTTCCTCTCTGACCCCTCCTAATAATATTGATAAGAACAGACGCTCCTCCTCACCAGCAGTACCTCGATCAGCAACAGGAAGAGGAGGAGGAGGAGGAGGAGGTGGTGGAGGGGATAAAACAGGTAGTACTTCGTTATCACCTCTGGGTGGAGTAGGGGGCGAAGCCAAGCGTATATTCAGTAAAGAGTTGACTATACTAGAAGATGAGGATAGTCAGACTGATACCACTACTGGTGGACTTGATGAAGCTGTTAGTGGAGCTAGCCTCTACGATGAAGAAGTGGGCGTGTCCGATTATAAAGAGACTCCGTCCACTAATATTTTATCCAGTAGAGGCTCGTCTCCTATTGATACTGCCCCTGCTAGCAGTGACTCTGTTTTGATTGTTAATTCTCATACTAATCTATCCCCGGAACCAATAGATCACACCCAGTTGGTCTCAATTAACGTGACCACGCCCTCCGGCGGTAATATAATTAACGAGGAGGGCGGGGCTGATCCAAACCAGTTAACTGAGGCAGTGTCTCTAGTTATATCTAATGAGGATGTGTCGAGCGAGAGTGAGTCCCACACTCCAGATCAGACCCTTCATTCAACACTCCCTGAGCAACCTATTCCTATTTCATTCTCATCTCCGGTAAAGGACCAGGCCCCGCCTAGTCAGTCACACCCTCTCCGGCGATCCAATAGCGATAGCACAGCAGCTCGTCCCGTTTTTCGTAGACAAGACTGCGCTAGATCAACTTCAAGATCGAGATCGCCTGATCCTCGCTACTCTGTCGAGCGAGACCACACCTCCTCTGACCGCGTCTCCTCTGATCACACTCCCTCAGGTACCACTCAATCTACTTGCTCTGAGTCCTCGTTCAATCAGTATATTCCTGAGCAGAAACCACGAGCTCCTATTACATGGTTACAAACCAGTCACACTCCCTTGGCACCGATTGCACATGGTAAGTACATGTCTAATCACTGCAATGTATATTCCAACCGGCTCTATATACATGTACATGTAATTGCATGTGCTAATTTTACGAAGGGATGTTTAGAATCTTACATTAAAAGCAAATAAGCAACACTATTACTTTAAAACTTTAAATCCAGGAGATCAAAATGCAGTACATGTGCATGTATGTATAATAATTGCATACCGTATAGCGCTTTATTTTGGATGAGCTAAACTTTCACTATTTTCGCGGTTAGCATGAAACTGCGAAATTAAAGATCCGCTAATATTTCAATTGCCATTAAAGGCGTGGCACTAACATTGCGAATCCGCAAAAGTTATTTCCGTGAAAAATTGATTTTTATCAATCCGTGAAATTTTAGCTCCGCAAAATTAAAGCGCTATAAGGTATTAGCAAATTATATCCTCTGTTACTCTCCTCTCTCTCTCTCTCTCAGTGAAGTCAGAGCCCAGTCCTACAATGTTAGTTCATGGTTCCACTTCCCCGGATAGACCACTCCCTCCACAAGTAGCAGAGGGTGAGGGTAAATGGACTAACGTCTCGGTCTCTCTTGTATGGGAGTGCATGCTAAGGATATTAGGAGATATCAATAAAATAGAATCAAACATAAATCACTCACTGGCTCTACACTGCATAGCTGAAGTATGGAGCAGATTAGAAGAGGTATGCCTGTATGACTAGCTCTCTTGACTCTCTTTCCCTTCTATTTCCTTTTTCCCCCATTATTGGATGTATGTTGTGTACATGTACATCTGTGTTTATCTCTCTTAGTCTGGTTCTGTTAATTGCTTAGAATCAGATTTTTTGGCAAATAGCCAATATGGCACCTAATGATGTCTGTCTATCACTTACCCACCCTGCTTTCTCCCTCTCTCTCTTCCTCTCCCTCCCTCCCTCTCTCTCTCTCTTCCTCTCCCTCCCCCCTCTCTCTCTCTCTCCCTCTCCCCCTCTTTCTCTCCCCCCTCTCTGTTTCTTTCTCCCTCCTCTCTCAGATTGAGTCTAATCTAGGTATATCATTAGATAATAAAGTCACTCCTACTCTACCTCCATACATGCCTCCATTACAAGTATTCCTCCCTTGGGTCATAAAGGTAATTATACTGTACATTGTACCTAAACCCAGTACCTCTTATTCACATAATGTATGTACATGTATTTTGTATGTGTGCATGGTTAGTACACTACATATTGTGGGTGACTGCACATTATTATATGATCCATATTCTCCTCCTGTAGGCCTGTAGTTTGCCTCACAACTATCAGGAAGGTCGCAAGTTAGCCTACCAGCTCCTGTGTGACATGATATTGAGACACTCTGACTCTTCCAAAGTATCACAGGCAGTTCTCCCTCACTTTTACAGACTAGTACACACTGGACTCCAGCCAATATCTGTTAGTAATACTTGAATATAAGTACACTGATTATAAGTACTTAAGTAGGAATATCTATGCTACATTGTATATATTAAAAGCTGCTTTTAAAATATTTAATTTAGCTAGTGATCTTGGCTCATGTTTGGCCCTACCCATACATGTAATCCATCCCTTGGAATGCAGTCACTGTAATGGATCGTTAATTATTATATTAATTAGCTCAAGGGAAAGAATTTTGTGGTTTGTAAATTACCATGAGAACTGATTACTCTCTCTTTTCTTTGCTTGCATGTACATGTACATGTATACACAGGATGTTATTAATGTGACTGTTAAGAATGGATCCCATCTGCTCTCCTATGGGCTGTCTGGCTCCTCCATTTTATTGCACGATATTCTTGTGGGATGCTCTCACTTGCTGAACAGCAAAGCAACAGAAGTAAGTGTAATAATAATAATTAATAATAATAATAATAATAATAATAATAATGTTGTTTTTAGGTGCCTAGATTAGAGACAATGTCCCTATTAGGCTCCATGTACTACATATTGAGACAGTACTCCAGTACAGCACTACCAGTTCCAGTCTCAGGAGGAGACACTGTACTAGGAGAACACCTCAAAGTATGCTTTAATTATCCTCCCTATTACTGCTTGTTTCTAATATTGTACATTCTACACGTATGTACCAGTCAGTGTCAAATAAGGTCCCTATATTATTAACATGCTCAGTGTTTCTTGCCAAGAAGGGACTACATGTACAATTGCAATACATTGATAGTTAGTATCTGGTATTTTCAATCAGTTGTAAGTACATGTACATGTATTATCACTGATGTTTTGATATATGCATGCATGATACTTAATTGTTCTTAAACTTTTTATGTTGTGTTGAAAGTTTAAGCTCATTCGGATCAAAATTGATTTTTTAAGTATGGGGGCGTTGACCAAATTTTATCAAAAATTGAAAGAAGATTATTTCTTTAATTTTTTATAATTTTTTTTCTCATTCATATGCACATGTAGAAAAAGTTTGGGCTCATTTTCTTATCAAAATTGGGATTAAAAAATTTTTTTAAGTTGCTTTGAAATTGGGCTAAAGAAAGACCCTGTAGAAGTCAACTTTTAAAGTGTCAAATTATTTGTTTAATTAGAGCAGGGCAATTGCAGTGAATTGCCCATTCAAAAATTTTTAATGTGCCTTAAAAAAGGAGGATTTTACATGCTTTATCCTTTACTGATCTCTTTATAAATGCATGAAACGTTATGAGGCTATCGTGGGTCGGACAATAATGATATTCCTTGCTTGTTACTGAGGCTTGTAACATGTAGTTGGAATGTACATCTTAAGGCCTTTTCACACTGGCACAATTTTCAAAGCGCTTTGATGTGCTTTGTTGGCCCAGCTGAAATAATGTGCATTGATCTTGTTCACACTAGCAGCTGGATTATGTATCATTTTGTGTTCTTGTTGCCATTGGTTTACATTGATCGAAGCGCATCACTTCACATCAATCCACCTCTGGAGGTGAAGTGAGAGTGATGCGCATCAATGCGCATTAATTCAAAACCACTCTAGTGTGAACACGATTAATGCGCATCAATGTGCATTACTTTGGCCAGTGTGAAAAGGCCTTAAAACTATAGTAGACAGACGTTGGCCAAATCTTGTCAAAATTGGAAAGGAGAAGTTTCTTCATTCTTATAATTTTTCCTGATGCATATGCATGTACTTTTGCTAGCTGTATAGAAAGTTTAAGCTCATTCCGATCAAAATGAATTTAAAAAATTTTTTAAGTTGCTCCAAAATCAGGCCAAAGACCCTGTACTATAGTACAGGGACATTGACCAAATTTCGTCAAAAATTGAAAGGAGAGATTTCTTCATTTTAATAATATTTTCTGATGCATATACATGTACTTATGTTGTGTAGAAAGTTTAAGCTCATTCCGATGAAAATGAAATTTTTAAAGAATTTTTAAAGTTGCTCCAAAATTGGGCCAAAGACCCTGTACTAATGATTTTCCATCAAAAATGGATAGGAGAGAATTCTTACATTTTCTAATGCAATAGATACATTCATCATGCTCTTATACATGTATTCTCTCCATCAGGAGAAGCTGATATCTACATTATACAATTCTGCCACTAAGGAGAGCAACAGACAGTCCAGGATACTCGCCTTGTATCAGGTTGGTATGATGGTGTACTCGGAACTGACCTCGCCCACTTCCTCCACCCCCTCGTCATCGTCTAGCCACACCCACTCTGCTCCTAAACCCTCTAAACTTGTTCCCGAAGGCATCGATATCCTACTAGCAACTTTAAAAGTATATACATGTACATGTATAATTATAACCCACCCACGCTAATTAGTGGCATCATTTTACATTAGGTGCTATATTGCTTATTTTTTATTATTACAAAATGTATTAACTTATTATTATTTTATTATTATTAAAAATGACACATGTACATGTAGGTTAGGTAGAATTTATTATTATTATTATTATTATTATTATTATTATTATTATTATTATTTCTTTAGTTTCCGGATAGTTCTCTCTCTCTCAGTTCTTTGGACATGCTGACTTTATTAGCTGAAGGGGGCGGGGCCTCTCAACAATTGAAGTCTCACTTTCCCTCGTATGTGTTGAGACTAATTAAAGGACTAACTTCTGCTTGCGCTCACCTCCTCTCTAGTTCCTTGAGAAAAAATAAAGTAAAAATCATTATTTACATGTGCACGTACTTATATTAATTCCTTGAACAGTGAAAGAATATTTATTGGCTGTGAACTTATCCAAAAATTTATTTTTGGAGATTTAATTTATGCAAATTTATTAGGTCTGCCATCTTGTTCTCAGTATTGTTTTTATTTTTATAAGTCTTCAAAGAATTGAAAATCCATGAAATTTACAGCCTTAAGACATTTTACGCTGCGTAGTACTTTTCCTTGTGCCAGTCTTCGTCTCTGTCTCTTTTTCCGTCTCTCTCTCTGTCTCTCTTTCCGTGTCCTTCTAAAACCTCTTCTGATTATTGATCTCGCTTCTCTTCCTCCTCTCTCTCTTTTTTCTTACTTTCAATGTATCTTCTTTGATATTTAATAGTTTCCTACTTCTAATTAAGAGTGGCCCTTATATCCCTCCCTCTCTCTCTTTCCTCTTTCCGTTAGGTTATTATATCAACGTTATTATGTTTGCGTGATTGGTTAATGTCTCTCTCAATTAACGACAATGTTGATTCTACCTTATTACCCGAGGCGGCTCTAAAAGATGTGTTCAAGGTACATTGTACATGTACATGTCATTTTAATTAATATACATGTACATGCATATACTAAATGGCTCAAACTTTCTACATACATGTAAGATAAGGACATCAATATGTACCAGAAAATATTGGGGGTGATTTTGCAGCCATTATTTTAAAAAGCATAGTCCGCAATATTTTACTCATTTTCTAAATTACACGTACATGTACATGTACATGTACATGTACGTGTAGCCGTTGATGGTTCATGCTGTGTACGTGTAGGAAGTTTGCTTACTAAGCATATTAATGACACAGAGTGCCAAGCACACATTCCTAGTATTAGTATGTAGTATACTAGTATTAATATTAGTATTACTATTAGTATAATTAGTATATGGTATATAGTATTAATGTTAGTATTAATACTAGTATTAATACCAGTGCATTCTTATAATTCTAGTTACTCTGTTATGTAGTGTCCCAATGTTAGTAGTAGTTTTAAAGTTGTTGTTGCATGTACATGTTATCAAAGGACTTGTCAACTGATACCTACATGTACTGTACATGTGCGTACATGTACATGTACATGTACATGTACATGTACATGTATGTATAGGTGATAATTATAAGCATATTATACATGTACATGTATATGTATTATTTTATGTACATGTACATGTACATTAAAAATGATGTAATATTTGGCAGAATAGTGAACCTGTTGCTTTGTGGTGCTGCCAATTTCTAATTTTTAAATTATATTATTGACTTGTGGCTGATGCAATCATTCCTGCGATACTTTTAGCCACGCCCCTTTCTGTCACGCCCACTTATAATTAATATTTGGCAGTCGTGGCACAATGCCGTGCCAACAATCAATGGATTCATAGTGAGTGGATCGTGGAGCAGATTGGGTTTGGTCCTACCAAATGTATGTGTACATTTGGTGTGTCACTTTGAAATATTTTGTCATTTAAAATAGCTTGAGCCTTTGCCAAATTAATACTATATAAAACCTTAGGAGAGCGAGAGAAGGAGAAAAAGAATAATTTGTTTATTTATTTATTTATTATTATTATTATTATTATTATTATTATTATTATTTATTAATAAAATTAAGAGATCAGAGTGTACACTCAATAGACAAGATATGATCAAGTACTCTTGATATGATGAAATGAGTAGAAATTCTTGTAGAGTGTAATGCCATGACCCTGCAGCTGTTACAGGTTATAACCAGTTAACCTTTAGCTACATATTCACATTGTACTTGTAATTTGTACATGTATGCATGCGTACTGTACATCATGTACATGTACATGTACATGTACATGTACATGTACATGTACATGTACATGTACATGTACATGTACATGTACATGTATGTTGCGAAAGCATAATTTCAGGTGTAATATTCTTTATGAAATGATTATATGCCCAGTGAAGGAAGCAACTATCTAACAATCACTAAATTTTAACTGACAGGTGGTGTATGCAGCTGCTAATATCCACGAGGATACACTAGAGCTGGACAGTATATCGTCTCCTGTCAATCTCTCCCTCGGGCCATTGGATGTTCCACCATCACGATCCGGCAAATCGACCAAGACCAGACACGAGAGTAAGCCACGCCTACCTGCCACACCTACCAATTAATATCGTATTTTTATAGATGAAGGAGGAGACAGTGAAGATATAACAATAGTAGCGAGATCGGTTAGTATTAATAATAGTATTAGTGGTTATTAATGGTTATTATAATTTTTATAATAGGTACTGTCACATTTAATGAATTTCTTGTGTCATTATCCGTTCATGAGTGGTGCTGCCTGTCTCTCCTCTACTGTCTGTTCGTATCATGACTCTCCTAGTCTGCAGTATCTTGATGAACTGTCAATAGAAATATTCGACTCGCCGCGAGTTCAAGTGATTAATTATTATGTTACTAGTAATAATTGCAAGAATAAAAAATACTCTTAATCACATGTTGTACATGTGCACTAGCTGATTAAAACACTGACATTAAAAAGCAGTGAAAATAATAATAATATTAATACATGTACATGAATAATGAATAATGACGAATGTATGTACATGTACATGAACACATAATTTTGAATTGTTATATAATTCTTTTTTTTTACTTGTACATATCTTCTCTCCCCATTCAGTTTTTCTCCATTAATGGTAATGCCATATTAGCTGTGGTTGAGATACCAGCACAAGTAAGCCATGCATTCACTCTATGGCATGTTTTATTATATCAACAGTTTATACAAGTACATAAGTGTTAACCACATTGTGTCCGACCCACGAGAGCTTTTACAATAAACTGTGTATAAAAATGAGGCCTGACAGCCTTCTGAGTTTAACCTCTTTAGGTCATTCTGTTAGTTTACCAAAAAAATTTTTGAAAGGGGCTGATGTACCCCTAATCATTAAACCAATAAAACCACTACACAATCAAAAGTAATCATGCCTGAATCAGCAATATTGCCCAAAATGAACGAGGCAAGTCTGATATGAGTACTGGTACAGTCCTGACAAGTATCAATGCTGATCATGCCTGATGCTCTGGCCTGAACCAGTGCAAGACCTTTTCATGATTGTGTTGCAACTGATTTTATGACTGTATCGTGACTGATTGCCCAAAATACATGATCCAGTACTGATTTCACGACTGATTCAGGCTGGTATCATCCTGATTCAGACTCCAAACTTTTGGTTGTGTAGTGAAATATTGTGTATGTACATGTATATCTTATTATGTATGCATAAATGTACATGTATGTGTACATATATGTATCTGTACATGTACATGTATGTAGGTATGTGTCCATTTGTACCATGAGCATTTACTCTCGTTTTGAGGGCATGAGTACAAGTACCCAAGAGTATGTGTATGTGGTTTGGTGGTTACCATGTATAACAATAATAATGTTGATATTGTCTGTCTGACTACTGAGGGATACATTACTATGTCTTCCACTATACCTCTTTACTCTACTCTAGCCTTTGGACTAGCTTTACTCTCTCATTCTCTCTCTTTTATTTATTATGTCTGGCTTCCATTGTGGTCACCTCTCTTGACCACAAAATAGACCATTAAGGAGATAAGAGAGAGAGAGAGAGAGAGGTGACAGCTAGATTGGATGCATGTATATGTACATACATGTAGATGTTCTTGTTTTCCTTCCATGTGCATGAAGTTTCGTTCAAAACAGGATATTATACAATTATTAAAATATTTGTTTGATTAACTACCAGTCCTCTGCAGCTGTTCTACTGGCCCTCTCCTGGCTTTTAAGTAGCAGAAATATTTATCAATTATGTACATGGAAATGGGGGACTTACCTTTGTTTCCTTCTCCTCTTCCTCTCTCTCCTCCTCTCTCCCCCCTCTCTCCCCCTCTCTCTCTCCCCTCTCTCTCTCCCCTCTCTCTCCCCCCTCTCTCTTTCTCCTTATAGTCTAAAGGGTTACCCATAAACACAGCTAGTTCTAATTATCAGTGTAGACTGATACTGAGAGACATTACTGGCAAGTATTGCTGGGATGCCAGTATACTACACGGCAGTAGAGACACAGTCAATAATAATGAAGGTATAGCATTATTAGTAGTAGTAGCATCATGATTATCATTATTATTAGTATTATTATTATTGTTAATGGATGTCGTAAAATATTAATTGCTTTTATTAAATTATTATTTGTTTATTTTCAGTGTCTATAATATTATGGATTCTGAATTCTCGGAAATAACGCGATCGTTCGATCAATTCAATTGATCACACGAGAGAGAGAGAGAGATTAACAAAGATGAGTGTACATGTACATGTAGTAGTACGTGCGTGAGAAATTGAAAATGATTTGGCGGCGAGGACAGAGAGAGAGGGTATTGAGAGAGTGAGATAAATAAGCTGATTGTTCATGTCTTATAATTATCGTATTTTTCCAACAGAAGCCTCTCCGCTCCTTTGTACTCTGAATGCCTTTAAGACAGATACAGAGAGAAAGAGAGAGAGAGCATGCTATTGACGAGTATAGATAGACAGGTAGACACTATTATTGTATAAACAGAAGACATTGTAGCTCCATTATGAGATCTACACATTAATACAAAGTATGGCCCAAGTACATGACGTATTAGGAGTGTATTGGTAGTACTGGGTAGTATGGGGTGCATGATGTAGTGTGGGTAAAGTGTGATATGTCTTCAAGTCTTCGGTAATTATTGAATAACTAATAATTAAAATGTTGGCCTTTGATGTGGTTGAGTGTACAGTGTACATTCTATGGACTGGTCTCATCTGTCTGTGCACTTATGTCATGCGCATTTGAATGTAGGAATGATCTCTCTCTATCTCTCTCTGTCTGTCTCTCTCTCTCTGTCTCTCTCTGTCTCTCTCTCTCTCTCTCTCTCTCTCTCTCTCTCTCTCCCTTCTCTCTCTCTCTCCCCCCTCTCTCTTTCCCCCCTCTTTCTCCCTCTCTCTCTCTCCCTCCCTACAGATATTATTGATTCCAGTGGTTCTCTCCCATTGATCAAGGAGGCAGAGAGTTATGACTCTCTCCTCTCATTATCAGAGGACACTGACCACTCCTCTCCTTTATCCTCTCGGCTCCACCCCTCTCTCTCCGACCCTCTTATCCCTCCCTCCTGGGTGACCACGCCTACCACCTCAGGAACTGACCTACTCAACGAGGTACCTCCCACACATACTATCACCATAGCTACCACTCTGTTGCTATAGTTACTCGTACATGTCGAGACGACCAGTCCAGAGTGTTTGTTATTCCCTGGGGTTGGTCTGGCAGAGCCCGCCCCATCGTGTGACGAGCCCACGGGTCCAATTGGGTCCCTGCTTGAGAACCTGTTGGAATCTCAGTACCAGAATGAGTTAGACCATCAGATCAGAGTGGAGTCATTGCCATGGTAACTTGTGTACCCTATACACATGTGTGGCTATTGTTATTGTCGTATTAATTATTAGTTGAGTGATTGTGTGTGTCTGTTGGAACAACATTTGATATGGATAAAATGTTATAAAATATAAACAGAATAAATTAATTAGTTGTACATTGTGTTTCTTCTAATTTTTCTCTCTCTTCCTCTCTCTCTCCCTCTACTCTTACATTGTACATTGTACATGTACACAATTAATGTATCTACTATCCTTTTACATTTTTCATTCTTCTCTCTCCCTCTCTGTCTCTCTCTCTCTCACTCTCTCTCTCTCACTCTCTCTCTCCCCCCCTCTCTCTCTCTCTCTCTCTCTCTCTCTCCCTTTCTCTCTTCCTCTCCCCCCCTACAGTATGCATTGTCAAACAGTCACTGAACCCGAGGCCCTTCCCTCCTCGTTCCCATTCTATTATTGTCGTCTCTTTTTATCTCACACAGGATACATGTCATGGCAGAAACGGTATACAACCCACTAGCTGCTAATTACTGCATTATCCCTCCATACTACATGTACATGTACATGTATACCTACTACATGTACATGTACTCATGTATCTACTATATGTACAGTATGGTAGCTTATACATGTAGTATGTCCTTTGTGTATTGTTGTAGGAATAATATTGAGTTGATTGAGAAGACTGAACAATTAGTGAGGGAATTGAAGCACTTAGACTCAACACAGGCTCAGTGGTAATTAGATTATAGCTATATATATGGTATCACTCATTTCGCCTTCTCTCTCCCCCTCTCTTTTTCCCTCCCTTACTCTCTCTTTCTCTCTCCCTCTCTCTCTCCTCTCTTTCTTTATCTCCCTCTCCTCTCTCTCCTTTCTTCCTTTGATCTTTTATTAATCTTTCTCTAGTCGGCAAACTTATAAAGTTGCCGTATTATATGTAGCGAATGGCCAAGAAGACAAAGCATCTATTCTTAGTAATGCTAAAGGAAGTCATGATTTTGAAGAATTTGTGTCTGGCCTGGGCTGGGAAGTAAGTTGACCTATCCCCCCTTCTCTCTCTCTCTCTCTTGTTTTGTGTCTACTTCCTAATGTATTTTGGCAAGTGATAATTTTGTTTGTCCCTTACTCTCTCTCTTCTCGCTCAAATTCCTCGTACTTCTATTAGGAGAGAGAGAGGGAGAGAGAGAGAGGGAGAGGGAGGGAGAGTGGGGAGTCTGAGGTAAGAGTCAAACAAGCATATGAAATGAGGGAGAGTCCGTCCATGTCATAAGAGGAAGGAAGAGAGATCTGGTGTGCATGTATATGTACATGTATGTAAATGAATGAGAGAGAGGGGGAGAGTGAGACATGACTCTGTGCTCTCATTACACTATCATGTTTTAACTTATATCTTTATTATTGTTACAATATCCATCCCAGTGCCTCTCTTTTTACTCTCCCTCTATTTCTCACATAACAAAGATCAGAGGATCGTGATATTTGTAATTCATAGCCTATCTTTATATCCTTTTTACTCACACTATACTCGACCATGCTCTGTATTAGTCTGCGTGTACATGTACATGTGCTACATGTATCTTTTACAGTGTTTGTTTATTTGCTATTATTATTTATTTATTTATTTATTATTTTAATTACATCATGTCATTGTGTATGTGTACACATAGACACACTTTTCAACTATTTCTCTCTCTCTCTCTCTCTCTCTCTCTCTCTCTCTCTCTCTCTCTCTCTCTCTCTCCCTCCCCCCTCCCTCCTTCTCTCTCCCTCCCTCCCTCCATCCCTCTCTCTCCCTCCCTCCCTCCATCCCTCCATCCCTCCCTCCCTCCCTCTCTCTCTTTCTCTCTCTTTAGCATGTACCTCTATGTATGTATGCTTATTTTATTAAAATGTTGGTACACTTTATCATCAATTATTGAAGCCATTCATTCATTGTATTTACTATTATAAATTATGATTTATCTATTTGTATTTATTTGTTTATTTATGATCTGAGAGTGTGTGTCTCATTAGTACTGTGAACCCTAACATGCCCTCAGAGAAAAAGAGAGAAAGAGAGAGAAAGAGAGAGATCTACTAGTTACATGTACATCTAGCATGCATGTATTTGTACAGGTGGCACATACATGTACATGTACATACATGTACATGTACATGTATGTACATGTACATGTGCATGTACATGTATTATTATTGCATGTATTATGATGAGTGTGATATCAATCAGTGAGTGAGTGAGTGGTGATTAGTGTGAGACTCATTTTGCCTATAAAAGGTAGTATAATTATTATTCACTTCTTGATATGATACACTTATGTCCTCATGAAGCCCCTAGACCATATCATGCTGCATATCATTATACTGTAGTATCAGGAGTACATTACTCCTATTAGCGCCCACTCACGCCTACAAGAGATGAGGGAGAGGGTGTGAATGGGACATCATGTACATGTACAATTGTACATGAATTTGTATTTACACAATATACCTAATTTTCTCTCTCTCCCTCCCTCTTTTTCTTTATATTGTTAAGGTTGATATGAGGACTCATCAAGGATATGCAGGTGGTCTGAGTAGCAGTTATACAGCTGGTATATCAATGACTTATTTTGCCTCTTCTACTGAAGAGATACTTTTCCATGTATCTACTAGAATGCCAGCAACATCTGGCACTGATTTCGATCATAAAGTAAGAGGGAAAGAGAGAGAATGACTTGTTAATGAAAGGGCACAGACAATAAAGGGAGAAAGGCTGAGTCTAGTAGACAAAAAGGGAGACAGAGAGAGGAAGAGAGAGAGTGTGTGTATTCTAACAAGACTCTATTAGTCGCCTAATATGAGCCGGTCATGATTATAACCTTGGCTTGGAGATCAGACACATTCTGACCTGATCATTGAATTATTGAAAAAGTTTGCAAACTTGTAAACATGTTGACAGTATAACTCTCACTACTGTACATTGTGTATCCACTACTGACACTATCTCCATATAAATCCATTGGATTATGTGATCTTATACAGCATATAATGTTTGAAGTCATTCAATGACCTATTATCATTGCCCGACTCTTCTTTTATCTACTAGTACAAATATTAATCGAATTACTATTATCTTTTGTTATCGTGTGAGTATATCGAGTGTGTACAATATATAACAGAGTACATGTACATGTACATGTACATGTACATGTACATGTATGTGATTTCACACAGAGAGAGAGAAGGAAGGAGGGAGAGAGAGGAAGAGAGGCAGACAAAACTATGCATATATTATGCATGTACATGCAAGATCACATGGTTGGTATGGACATTAAATTAACTAATTCTTTAATCGCTAATGCATGTACATATACACATGTACATGTACATATCTATTGGATGTATAGTACAAGTATTAGATCAGAATTTATATCATTATTGTATAGCGTTTATCCAATGCATCATGTGAGTGCTGACAGTGACATTTCATAATTTATTATTGAAAGGAAATTAATTGAACCCTCCACCTGACCTAACAGTTCCATAGTAATAATAATACTGATAATACTGATGCACCAGTAACAAATATCCATGGTAATAATACTGAATATATCAGCTAGTAATAAATATCCCCCCTGCTGCTGATCTATCTCTTTCACTCTACAAGATCTGTGTCTATACTCTCCTTTCCTCCTCCTCTCGTGCCCTCTCTTCCTCTCCTCCTCTACATGAGTCTATATTAATGAATGGTTCATGCATACTTTCCTTCATTTGTTACCTAGTAACACACCAATTACCTAATACCAGCTGCCCCTCTGGTCTGGTCTGGTGCGTGTGTTGATGATTATTGTTATTTGGTGTGTTGCATAGTGGAAGCCTCAAATAGGTAGAGATGCATTCTTAGATGTTTGTTGGTCAGGTATACCTCTTTGCTATGCCTATCTGTTCTGATGTCATCTTAAAAGTTAAATATTGAGAAATGCTGTAGAGAGGAGGAGGAATGTGCTTCACTGGCTCTTCTCTCCTTGGTCTTCCTTCCCCTCCTTTCATGTGACTTGGCTGATCCTTTATGGCAACAAGTCCATCGCAACTTTAACTGCTTCTCTCTCTCCCTCTCTCTCTCTCTCTCTCTCTCTCTCTCTCTCTCTCTCCCTCTCCCTCCCCCCCTCTCCCTCTCCCTCCCTCCCTCTCCCTCTCTAGGTAAGACATTTAGGAAATGACGAAGTACACATAGTGTGGAGTGAGCACTGGAGAGACTACAGACGCTCTATATTAAAGACACAATTTGCTGACGTCCTACTAATAATATACCCACTGCCCAATGGACTGTACAGGATACAAATAGACAAGAAGAATAATGTAAGAGAAGTAGTAAGAGGGAGGGAATGGGGGAGAGCACATGTGCAGGTGAGAAGGTGTATCCTTTCCTCCTACTCCTCCTCCTTTTTGATTCCTCCTCTTCTTGTCCACTCTAGATTCAGTTTGGCCCTCTGTATGATGGTATAGTAGTTGATGGCTCTAGCCTCTCTCACCTAGTGAGGGCAACGGCCATTAATGCATTGAGAGTAATGAGGACACCTTTGTTCATGTACAGAGGAAAGTGAGTCTACCTCATTATATGAAGTACATGATTTAATGCTCTATTAGTTGCATAATATGCATTAACTTAAAAAATAGATTATTAAATAATAATGATTATTATAATATTAAGAATATTGTTATTTTAATCTGTATTAATAATATCAACTTTTATCAAAAGTTGCTAATTTTCACATGTTAGCTTTATAATTAGCAGCCCTGCTTGTAATTATATTAGTTCTTATCCCATTAAGTCATGTACTGGACTGTATCCTGGTGTATTGTAATCCTGTTATTGTGTTAATATGATTTCTCTTCCTCTTTCCTACTCTGCCTGTATCCTCTCTCATTCGTCCATATATCCTACTCTCGTTTCCCTTTTATCTTCTTCCTCTCCCTTTCTCTAGATATGAGGACAGATGGAAGTATATACAGTCCGTTACCTCGAGAACTGTTCCCTCTACTTACGAGGATTTCATACAAAGCGTTATACACCCTCAGGCTAAAGCCACCCCTACCCACCCACCACTCAAGCTTGTGCTATCGGCGACTTCGACGCAGCAAAACGAGTTAAGCTCTAACCGTCTTTCTACTCCACCTCCCCTCCTCTCCTCTCTTGAAACAAGATGGACTCTGGGTTCATTTGAGCCTAGTCATCAACCGACCAATAATGAAGATATGGATGGTAAGGTTACTCTCACTCTCTCTCTCTCTCTCACTCACTCTCTCTCTCTCTCTCTCTCTCCTCTTCTTTTTTGACCTTTTCTCTCTCTGCTCTATTAGAATGTCCTAATTCACAGACTCAAACTGATCATATACTGCCAGTAGGAGAAGGTCAGTCATGACATCATATGTCTCTGTTCTGAATTGTGACCTTTCTCTCTCTTTCTTACTCTTTCTGTCTCTTTCTCTTCTCTGTCTCTTATTAATATCAGAACTAAGTCTAGAAGGCTCATTAGGCTGTCATGACAATGTTACTATTGATACTAACCCTCAGACATGATAAGGGAGGGGAGAGAGGAAGAGGGGGAGGAGGTCTACCATGCATTGACTATTTATCACTAGCATTCCACATTTAACAGCAGTTACAATCATCATCATCAACTTTATTATTATTAACTCTCTGTCATTAATTAATTTTTAGCAAATGTAATAATAATAATAATAGTGATATCGTGTATAATAGTAATGATGGTAATATTGTGTTACTGACTTACTACAATACTACACAAAAATACCACAAAAACCCTTTAATTTGTATCAGCTCCTAATGAGGTATTACCTAGTCACACCAACAATCAGTTCTCACTCCCCATATGTCTTCATTCTCCTTGCCACCATACTTCAAGCTTCTTCTTTCCCTCCCTCCTCTCTCTCTCTCCTCTCCCTATCTCTCTTTCTCTCTCTCTCTCTCTCCCTCCTCTCTTTTTCATCAACCCCCTCAACTGATCCTGTGTATATATAAATGGGGAGGTGGTTGTTTACCATTTCTACTTGTTTGTTGGCAAACGATCCAGTGGTATATAATTACCCTGACCAGCAGTAAGGATTCACTTCATGCAATCATTGGCATATATGGTAAAGGGTGTGCTTCAAAGAGATGTCAATGCATTTATTGAATTAGTTAAAGATTGAGTCATGCTGTCATTTTTCTTTTATAGCTACAGTACATGTATAATTGAGCCTGTATTTCTTATCTGTATATATATTACATTAATAATCATTGTGCAGTATTTCTGGATAGTATACACCTTTTCTCTACATTGCTATAACAGTTGCTTTCTCTCATTTTCGTTCTCTGGTCTGTGTCACATAATCTCTCTCTCTGATCTCTTTGCTTTTTGGCTTGTTTTTTTCTTTATTAAGCAGCTGCTTGCTAGCCTGCTTTCATTTTAAAAATATAATTCTCTGGCCTCATAATATTATATTTATTGCCTGATTTGTGTACAGGATATCATCAGAGAGGTGATAAGAAGTTTAGTTAAAATTGAATTTGTGCCATAAATGAATAAGTAGAGCCTCCAGGGTCCCACTACGTGTACCAGTGTTGTGCCACTGGTCGCCCTCGCTCCAGTATCGCACTAGTACTATGGTCAATGGTTAGTCTTTTAAAAGGTGTTAAATAAAATAATTTAAAAACTTGTGCGTGTGTGTATGTGTATGTACAACTGGTTGAGATAAAATAATGTATATAGGATAATTATAGATATATTATAATAATCTGATCATAGAGAATGAATGAATGAATGAGTATGATGATGATAATGATTATAAGACAAAATGTTAGCTGTATTGTGGAGGGAACTTATCAACAAAATAATTTAAAGTGATGATAAAATAATAATAATAATAATAATTACCGGTATGATAAAATTAAATTTCTCTCAAGAGTTTATTCCTGTGCAGTTGGTAAAATAGCAATCAAAATAATAATAATAATAAAGAATATAATTGGATAATCATACAGACCTGTGGAGAGGAGAAGAGAAGGAAGAAGAAGAAGATTTAATCATCAGTGTATTATGGAGAATCAAGAGGATAAAGGAAGAGGGGATTATCTTGTCATAGAGGCATCTATGACATTGATGCTGAGCTACATATTGAAGTAGCTGTGTAAGGACTGCCTACTGAGCTATTGTTACTTGCAGTGGTGTTGTTAGAGAGAGGATTGGTTAGTCCTGGGGTTGAAGTGGGCTGTGGCGGTGGGATATACGAACTACTCACACCCAATCCATGAGACGTGTGTGGTGGAGGAGGGGGAAAGAAGGACATGGGGTGGTTAGGAATGACCGGGGTGGTTGGCATGAAGAGAAACTGCTGCGTCCCTGGGGAGAGGGGGGTTAGGCCGGAAAATGGCATCGTTCCTGTTATCCCAGGGCTAGGAAGACTCGGTAGTCTGTATGGTAGTTGTGAGTTTAGTAAAGGGCCACACGTTGTTGGTAAACTGTTGAAGGAGGACGTTGAATTGATGCTGTTCACTGTTGTGCTTCCTTCCCCACTTGTTGACGATATGGCGGCGGCCGCGGAGCCCCCAGCCTTGAGGAGAGAGTCCATGTTGAATCCAAAACCTTGAGTCTTGCCAAACGGAGATGCAATGGGAGGGAAGAATGGAGCCGAGTTGAGATACGGATTAGGCTGTACGGCGTGCATCCCGGCTGGTGCTAGGGTTGTTGCATGTATAGACTGTGGTGGGGGATGAGGATGAGGTGGGAATGGATTATAAGCGTACGCTCCACCTGCACCAGGCTCGTGTGGTAGCATGGAGTATGCTGGCATACCTGAGAGAGGTGGAGGGTGTTTGTGTCCTCTCATTGCTGCAGCAGCAGCCACAGCAGCAGGGCTGCCATAAAGACCCTCGTGGCCGTGTCTACGGGAGACCGGTCGCCTCCTCAGTTTACCGGTTGTTCCACCGATGAACATTATATCGTCGCTGGACGGGTCCAGGGTCCAGTAGTTTCCCTTTCCAGGGTCGTCGTAAGGACGAGGGACTTTTACAAAGCATTTGTTGAGTGAGAGGTTGTGTCTGATGGAGTTCTGCCAGCCTTGCTTGTTCTCTCTGTAGTAGGGAAAGTTCTTCATGATGTAGTCGTAGATACCGCTCAATGTGAGCTTTCTCTCCGGGCTGGACCGTATGGCCATCACTATCAGTGCGTTATAGGAGAATGGGGGCTTTTGGTACTTTCCGCCACCTTTCTTTTCGTCGTCTCCAACGCTCTCGTCTTCATCTCCTTTGTCATCTCTGGAGCAGTCGCCATCAGCTGATTCCATCTTTATGTGTGGATGGAGTCCACCTGCGCCTTTGTCCAAACCTGCAGTCCCAAGGAGATCGCTCTCTCCTTCCCATGACCCGTTGCTGGATGGCGTTGGTACCATTTCGTCTCCAGTAGATAGAAATCCATTCATTTTGTTGCTGCTGCTTGTATTATTACTTTGTGGTGATCGTCCAGTTCCTGGTGTATCTTGTAAACCAGAGTGAACCATGCTAGCCAGAAGCATAGAGACAGAGAGAGTGAGAGAGAGTAGGCTTTGAGAGGTCCTGTTCTTCTATCAGTTTCTGAGAAATATAATTGAAGAGGGAGAGAAGGACAGGTGTATATATATATAATTGTAGTCTCCAAGAGCAGGAGGTCTTTTTCAGGTTCGCTTGTAACAACTTCTAGTGTAAACAGAGCTAACCGCAAATGAGCTGCAAATAAATACTCACCAAACCTGCCCACCCTCTTCTATCTCTCATATACCACAGGAAATATCCTGAGCCAAATTATTTAATTAATGACATTATACATGTACTGCAGCCTGTACTGTTGTGGTCAGGGGAAGAGAGAGAGAGAGGGAGGGGAATAGGAGGATTGGGGAGGAGGAGGAGGAGGAGAAAGGATTTAACATATATCCATGTTTAAAGGTGATAATGGAATACCCAGGGATCACCACGTCTTTATAGCAAAACCATAATTTATTTTACAGTACAAGTGAGTAATGAGAGCAATGGCAGAGAGGAGGGAAAGAAGCTGGAAAGTGTTTAAAAGTGAAAATGGACAATCCACTTATCACTAGTTGAGACTGAAACCTTCTAATCCCCTCACAATTAGAAGACATTATCTTCTTTAGATAACTCCTAACTCTTTCCCATGCCTCTCTCTGCCTACCACGTACATATTTAATCTCTCCTTCTGCACAACAGCAAGTCAACAGTTGCTTGCCTGCATCTCTTTTAAGTTCCCATCTCTCTAGTGCATTCTTCTCATTGCACACAAGTATTTATGTACATTTTCCCTGTGGTACATGTGTGTGTGCATATATATATTTACATAACTTTTTAGTAATGTCTATGTGTATGTTGACAGTGATGAGAGAGTGTGTGTGTGTGTGTGTGTGTATTTACAGCCACTCAATCAATTACTACAATGCTTGTACAATTATCTTTGACATTGGAATTCCATCATCTCTCTCCTTTATATTATTGGTATGAATGAATGGAGTATGTTGTCAAACTCTGGACCATTACATATGTATATAAACAGTAAAACACACACACACACACGTGTGTACTGTGTACACTTTATCTTGTTATTGTGAGGGCGAGTATGTGGGGGCCTGCTCCCTGCTATCGTCACGGTAATATTTTACAGAAGGGTTGGCATTTGATAACTAATATATCACCTATTCACGTTACTAACCGCATTCTGATGAGAGTTTATCATATTACACTCACTCGCCTGCTGATTCTCTCCTTTTATCTTTGAGACTTCTTACACACACACACACACGCACTCTCTCTCTCTCTTTGATAAACACACACACACGTAGACCATGAATACTGTATACAGTATTTATGCATAAACACACAGTGTCCTCCTTTTAATGATGCTACTTATAAACAGTCCTATACAAAACAAGCATATGAAAACATTATTTTAAGAATAGAAACGAAAGAATGAGAGAGGAATAAAAGAAATAATAAGAGAGAGAGAGAGAGGGATAGAAGGAGACATTAATATGTGTCCAATATGTAATACTAGTCAAAATAAATCATTGAAGATGAGTAGTGGTAGTCAGGACATAAAGTGTAAGACAATGACAGGTTGGTCTACTTTATTGATCGGCCAAACAATTTCTCTTGGCAATGGAGCCTACTTGATCTCCATTCTCAGTACCACCAACCTCTTGGATAGAACCTACAGGAGAGAGAGAGAGTGAGAGAGAGAGAGAGAGAGTGAGAGAGAGAGGGATGAAATCTTGCATGTGTCTGTGTCTGTGTATGTATTCTGTAGTATATTGTAGCAATGTCAGCAGTATTACTCTATACTCTTTCCCAGTGGACTTTGAACTTAATTACACAATCGGTAACTCACTCGATAAATGAAACAAGACACTAACCAATTACTACAGCAACTCACCACTCTCTTCCCTCCTTCCCTCTCTCTCTCAAATTACTGCTTCACTCATTAAATCGCTCATCACTTCATTCATTCATCATTCCTCACGTTTTTCTCCTCTAGTTAACAGAAGTGATTCTGGATAAGGAAACGTTAGTCTCATCATTGCTTTGTTTGGAGCAGCTTTACGTACAAAATGACACTCAAACGACGAGAGACCACACCCTAACTCATCCTCCACAATCTGGAGCACGTCTTTCTCGGGCTCTGCAGATTTTGAAAACAAATAACAATGAATTAGAGGTGGAGAGGCAAGGAGTTTATTAGGCTGAGATGTGGAGGAGTGAGAATCAGTATTGTCCTCTTTCACGATGCTATTATAATATCCTCTAAAACAGTTCAAGAACTGATATGCAATGGCTGGTAAGTTCATTATTACATGAAGTCTAGCCGAAGGTTCTGATACCAATAGACCCTGCACTTTCTCTCTTGTCTCATCAATGAACTCTCTACCATCAAGATTATAACACTTGATCCCGACACTGTTCCTCTTTGAATTATCAACCAGTGCAGAGTAGGAATGAGGGTTGAGGTCATTGGCAAATACTGTGACTCCTTTTTTTGCTGCCGGTATTGAGAATGGTCCCACTCCTGCAAACATGTCCAGCGCTATATCCTTAGGTTTGAGTTGATTTATGACCCTCCCATGCTCTGTCCCTAGTCTTGAGTTCCAGTACACTTTAGCAAAATCAAATTTAAATCGACAGCCATTTTCCGATACTGTGGTAACGGTGTTGTCCTCCCCGGCCATTAGCTCCATGTGAAACGTACGGAAGGTCTCGTCAATTCGATCAGTTTTATTGACCACAGTCTTAATGCCAGACTGCTTGCTTAACAGGACCTCACCTGAAAATGAAGAATTGAAAAATAATATACTACTACTTAGACCCAATTACTTAATATGGATGTGGTTTCTTACCAATGATATTCTTATATGGTAGATGATGCTCTTTCAAGTTATAGTGTGCTATATGTCCAATGATCTCATAAGCCAATGGGGGGTCCTCGTTAAGAGGGAGTATTGACTTTAGTATTGATTTAATGGGATAGTCCCTATACTCAATACTCGTTTCGTGTGCAGTTAATGTCCCGCCATTTTGAACTATCCAGTCTTCCTGAGTCTCTGTTAGAGACTGGGAAGGAGAGAGAAGGAGCAACTGGAAAAGAGAGAGAAAACTCAGTACATTATTATCATTTTTGCAGAGAAAAAAGAGGGACAGAAATGCAGAAATATTATTGTCACGATTATTAGTAAAATGAATGCACTATACATTACTATCTCACTTTTTCACTCTCTGATGCAGGTACTGCTTGGATTGTTTTTATTTCTGGGGTTTTCAGCATTTCTTTGCTAAAGTTCTTTCTAAAAGCTGATGTCTTTTCAGCAGGGACCCTAACAACAGGCAGCGTCACTTTCTTGTGAAATAAAGACTTGTCTAGCTCTTTTAATCCTCTCACTCCCTCTGGAGGAGAAAAGAAAGACTCCAGAGGCTGAGAGAGAGCCATTAGTGACCTCACACGTTGCAGCATGCTTCCATTTTAGTGGGAGGGGCTCATAGAGTAGGCGTGGCTCAAATTTAACCACACCCTTTATAAATTAATTTAGATCTAATAATTTTTGGCAAGTTTGTCCTCTTGGCTTGTGGTCTTATTATGCTCACTTTTCGCTTGGTAATTCTTGTAATGTTCTTTTTGTATATTTTACTTTTTTCTTCTTTAGTAGATTTTTTTACAGTAGAGAGAGAGTGCTATTTTTAGACTAGTGGGTGTGGTTTGCTCCACATTCCTAGACGTTGCTTCCTGGTTACTAAGCAATTCTTCTAATTATTCTTGGTAGATGTCTGGAGAGTGATGTCAACAGTCTATGATTTGCTAACTACTGCCGATACCATCAGATCTGCAACTGTAACACCAGTAAATTATTATAATGTGTTCTAATTTTTAGAACTAAATCATTGCTAATGTTACTAATTATAGTATCAACTAAATATAGTATCACTTTCTCTCTCTCTCAGTTTGATGTGTTTGTGAGTGCATTATGGTCTAAGGCGATGGTTGATGGTGCATTCCGGTATACACTGGATGGGACCACTGTCAGGTCACTGGACGAGGGTCAGTACGGGTTCGTTGTACAGGTACATGTACATGTACTGGTCATGTGACTATCATGTGACTTGCATTATTTAGAATAATCCGAAAAGGTTGACACACAAGCGAGTTCCAGTCGAAAACAGGAAATTAGTGGAACCGTTTTCTCCCGATCAATTTAACTTTAACAAGATAACAAATGAAAAGGAGGTACATGTACACGTGCTCTGTTGAATGATTAATGACTTGTCTCCCCTGATTTACCCCTCAGGTCATTTGTGTTATTAGAAGAAGAGGAGATGAGGTCAGTGATGCGATATGATGTCATGTCATGTGACCAGGGGATTAGGTTACTCGTGAAATATTAGGGTCAGAGTATCAGAGTTTACTTGCATACCATAAACCTTACCCTCACTCCTTTCAACTGAATGTGATGAATTAATGTACCTTGTTATTATTTAATGATGTGACCTTGCTTCTCTTAAACTCACCTCTCTCTCTCTGTAGTTTATTGATGAACATTTAGCTGTCATTAATGTCAGTCCAATTGAAGCGAATCACTTCCTGTTAGTACCAAACCCTAAAGACTGTCTACCACAAGTATGCATACATACATATACATCACTCATCATGTGATTGTCATGTACATGTACATACATGCACATGTACATGTACATGTATGTACATGTATATGTATATGCAGGTAATTACTCAAGACTCTCTGTTACTCTGCCTCCAATTGATGTCATTATGTGAAAGAAAGTAATGCAATACTTTTAAAAATTTTTATTATTTTTATGCTCCCACGCATGTACTGTACTGTACATGTATATTCAGTGATACATGTGTGGTCGCTAACAGTTTGTTGGCTTATGCTTCAGTGAATCATCTCCACTATCATTTTATAAGTATCAGTTATCCATTGCTAGCACACAGACTGGTTAGTCATTGGTCATCATCATACAGTGTGTCTCATGTTATATTTTATGCGTAGGATGGTAAAGTGTTGGTGGATGGAGTGTATGAGTTAACTAATCATCCAATGAAAGGGTTCGGGTTTCAATGCAAAGATAATAAGAATAATGAAGAACTAAGTAAAACAGCTAGGTAAGTACACTGTATATGGTGACATGTATTGAGCATAATGATATGAGCATAATGATATGTATTGATGTGTAGTAGAATGAGCCTTTTCTGACTGATGTTATAGCAAGTGCTAGCCATCTAAAGAAATGGGAAATACCCTGTACTATAGCCCATGGTTTTTTACAAAAAATGGCTCCGAAATCACCCCAAATTTTTATTACATTTTCTGGTACATATTGATGTACTTAGGCTATGTAGAAAGTTTGAGCTGATTCCGACAAGAAATTTTTGAGTTATGGCTATCTAAAGAAATGGGCAAATTTTTGAAAATTTCCCTGTACTATAGCCCATGGTTTTTTTTTACGAAAAGTGGCTCCGAAATCACCCCCAATTTTTATTACATTTTCTGATAGATATTGATGTACTTAGGCTATGTAGAAAGTTTGAGCTGATTTCAACAAGAATTTTTTGAGTTATGGCCATCTAAAGAAATGGGCTAATTTTCTGAAAATTCCCTGTTATAGCCCATGGTTTTTTCCAAAAAATGGCTCCAAAATCACCCCCAATTTTTATTACATTTTCCAATACATATTAATGTACTTATGCTATGTAGAAAGTTTGAGCCGATTCTGACAGAGTTATGGCCATCTAAAAGAAATGGGCCAATTTTCTGAAAATTCCCTGTACTATAGCCCATGGTTTTTTTTATAAAAAGTGGCTCCAAAATCACCCCCAATTTTTATTACATTTTTTGATACATATTGATGTACTTATGCTATATAGAAAGTTTGAGCCAATTCCGACAAAAAAATTTTTAAGTTACAGTCATCTA